GCCGCTGCAGCCCCCCTCCAGCTGACCCTTTAACTCGGTCGCGACGGCAAGCAGAAGGGAAGCTGGCACGGGCTGCGCCGTCCGTCGCCGCTTCGGGGTTTTAGAAATGAGATTGCTGGGGGCGCGTGGTTTCCTCACGAAGGGGGATTGCTGCTGCCGCTGCTGCCCTCGAGAGGATGCGAGGCTCTGGGGCGCTCCCGGAAACTCTTCGGTTCGAGCGCACCCACGAACTGATCGAAACGCAGATTCTGCCCGAACCTGATGACTTCCAGAGTCTGGGACGGCAGGGACTACAGCCGTGACTACGGAGCTTATAATTTAACTCCTTTGGAGGGCGGCAGGTCCGGGAGACGCGTTACTTGGTCCTGCTGCAATTATCCAATTTAGATGAAGGATTGGGAGTACGTACCGTGCTTTTCCGGTTTGTTTAGCCATGATTTATTGAATAAACCACAGTTGGTTAGGGAGCATAAGAGGCTGGCTCATCAATTATGGTTTGCATGTCTGCTTGCCAGATCTCCCACAGCTGCTTGTTTTTGTGGTGGTTACCAATAACTGCAATTAATGACATACATCATCATCTCAAGAAGATCGAGTTACTGAATTTTCAAGAAAGACAACAGTCTTGTGGCATCATAAAGGCAAGCACATTATGCCATAAGCCTTCATATTGTTAAGTCCCAGGCAGCTGGGCAAAATCAAGGGAGCAAGGCCAACAGAGCTTTCAGCAAATTTGCTGGGGGATATAAATACAGAATCTTGGAATGTGTGATAGGAATTTCCCAGCCTCATTTATAATGAGTTCATTAAGGTGGAGCTCTCTGAATACTTTGAAAAGCTTCTTCCCAGACTTCACTCCACCTGGGCTAACTTGCTGTTTATGAGATAAACTGTCAAGTGATTTGCCCACTCTCTTTCCATTTTCTATGGCTGTTTCATTCCTTGCCCAGCCTCCCCACAATCTCTTACACGTATATGGCAACCCAATACCAGAGCCTTTGACTTATAAATGTGTGTACGCATGTAATATTGCAACAACTCATGCTTAACTCTTGGTAATAACTATGTATTTTCTGTGCAATGGTGGTTTGCCACTTTTTTCTGGGATTTTTACAATTTCCCAGTCCAGTATCCACCCTTGGAATTATGTGATAATCACCAAGTACTAATCAGGTCCAACCCTGTTTAGCTGTTTTCAAGATCAGCCAACGGTTACTAGGGGTTGCCACCTGCTGTGACAAACACAGAGTTGCATATTTATAGGTGAAGGGACATTTGGTGTAAAGCATGAAGAGCTCAGGCAGATAAAATCTGGGAATTTGCCTTTTTTATGCCTTTAACAGCTGTGTGGCAAGGACAAATTTATCAGGTGCAACTTCTGGCACACAAATACAGGGATGGATAAAATCCTTTATAGGTCAAATTTCTACTTGTCATTGACCAAGGTTAAAGAAAAAATAGGCAACCTTATCTGGTAGTGTGCTCCAACAGAATATTTTAATTGCCTTTATTGTAATATAAAATATTCATTTGACTTAGATCTCAGATAACTTGAAAGATATCCTGTATGTTTTAACTAAGTAAAGCAATCTGGAACAAAACAGTCCTGCTTCTTGCTGGATGAATTTATCATTCATGTATACTTTCTCTGTCATTCCAATATGCTGATTCTTGCCTCCAACCACACAAGAAACATTCAAGTCCTTCCTTCCTTTGCATGGGACCCAGATGCTCCAAAAGATGGAAATCCACTGAATGTAGGCAAATTGCTGTGCAGTGGAAAAAATAAATTACGAGAGAAAATGTCAAGCTATTTCCAAAGAACTGTCCCATCAAGAAACTCCATATAAATCAGTGGGACCAAAGCATTTTTCAACTGAAGACTGAATAGACAATTGTGAAGGAACTAACAGGACTGATTTGGAGTATTCCCTTTGCCTCAAGGTAGGAGACCCCCAAGTTTCTTTCATACCTATTCAGAAGGAGTACAATGTGATAATTGCTAATTCAAGAGATTGTGCTGGCAAACAGCCAATGAGTACCCCAATTAATTCAGGGCAAGCTTGAAATTGTGCTATTGGCAAGTCACTAAGCCAGTGATACAGAGCTAAATTCGTCTTTTTATAAATTTTAATTATGTATTTATTGTTTTAACTTGATGTAAACCGCCCAGAGTCTCCCATTGTGGGGAGATGAGTGGGGATAAGTCTATGTATAAATAAATAATAAATAAATAAATGTAGCCCAACATCTCTTACGTAGTTCCTAGACCTCTGCAAAATGAGTGAGATCAAAAGTTTCAGTCTTTCTCCCTTCCTCCTTTTTTGTGAGGGGGAGTTAGAGGAATTAAGAGACAAAATACATGCCTTAAATTTGCTGGTTCTTAAAGCATTCTTTGGATACCTTCTAACACCTGAAAATTTCCCCCAAATGGATGATTCCTCCCTTTTTGGGAGTGCAGTTTTCAGCATGCTGCACAAATCTTGGTTTGACTCATGAACTGATGGAAGGTGCGCATGCCTGAGCTAGTGAAAATTAATCAGCCTTGGATAGTATCTCACCCAAGGGTTGATGCTCTTGAACTATAACATTTAAGCAGATGACAAAACTTAGCTGGCCTTGGATGATTTTGAAGAAGCTAAGCAGGATTGGACCTGTTTAGTATTTGGATGGGAGACCACCGGGAAACCCCAGAGGTGTAAGCTAATAGAAAGTTTTAAAAATCCAGAAAAAAGCTGTGGAAAATCATTTTTGTACTGTTGCCAAGTCTGATTTCTGATACTCCAGCTTTTATCAGGCAACTGGTCTGCCTTACTCACAGATTTTTGTTTAGGCAGATCCATGCACACATAGATCAGCAATCCGCTACAGCAAAATTTCCCCCTCATTATTTCTCTCTGTGCAGAATAGCCAGTCTTTTTCTCAGCTGCACTTCTGCCTTTTGCCTGCAAGCCTCTTAAAAGACACTGGTTACAAAAAGGCCATGCTAGTTTCAAAATCTAGAACAGGAAGGAGAAGCTTTTATCTGACAAAATTGATGGGGCTTCCTCCCCTAATAAAAAGCAGGATTTATGGCTAAACAAAAAAGTTCCTGGACAGATTTGGGTCCAGCCTTCCTGCCTGCTAGATCCTGTCATCCAGCTAAAATAACCAGAGACGTAATTATGAGGCTCGGTTTTCTAGACACTTTGGGATAGAGTATACGATCATAGGCTGTGGGTATATGATCAAGAGACGAACATTGTATTATAGCAAATATTCTAGGACTAAGTTCTGGAATTGAAAACTAAGCTCTTATTCACATCCAGGCCAGAATTCTCTAACATGTTTTGGCTCCATTTCAGGAGGAAGACAGAAAGCATGTGTTCATTTTTAATTGCGGTTTTTCTGCCATTCTTAAATTAGTTGGGGGGAATGCCAACCTCTCTGTTCTAATAAACCTAATTTATGTATTAATCACATATTGCTAATACAGCATTTTTTAAAACAATAATTTCTCTTTCCTTTTTCTGGCAACTTGTTACAGTTCTCCCAAGGGCCCAGTGGGCAAAATCAGACATGAATTTCTAAAGAAAAATATGACAGATGACACCTTATCCAAAATCTGTGTGAAAAGATAACAATGTGATAAACTAAAAACAGATTGCATTATGCTTACAGGTCAATTCTATTTATACTTACTTAGAAATCACTACTGTTGGGGTCGTCAAAATATTTACTTGATTTGGGATTACAGGCTATGAGTTTCCATCAAAATGGATCGTAAATTGGCTGTTTTTAAGAAGAAAAACATTACTGCCAATTTCATCCACCTTAGCTGAAAATTACTATAAGGATCCATTTCCTTTTATATCACTAGCATACGAATGCTGAGCCAAGTTTCCTAATTCTTTTTTCTTCTGATGATCTGCAGTGTGCATATAACCCCCTTAGCTGTGTGTGGCCCTATTCAAGCAGGAAACCTCAGAATTAGCAAAACACTTCAGGTACCCTCACACCATCCTGGCAGGTAGGGCTGAATGTGGCTTCTTGCAGACAGCTACAAAAGACACTACCAAAAATAGTACAATGAACACACTGGGCTGAGCACCATAACTTCATGATGTTTATAAATGAAGCTAACATAGAGTTTCATAATTCCACCTCTGAGGGATGACCCCCCCCCTTCTGTTCTTGCAATATGGCCTGTCTTTTGCCATGTAAGGTTATGAAGTAGAGCATGGCTGTAACCGTATAACATAGATTCTGTTTACAAAGCAGCGCTTCGTGGCGAGATCAAACTTGCTTCAACAACCGTTCCCCTCTTGTTTTTTCCCTGCATGCAGCCTGCCATTTTCTGCAGATGCTCTACAGAGTTTAATCAATAGCAAGGACAGGTTTTGTTGCCTGTCCCTGTAACAGGACGAAAGACAGATCTTAGAACCCGCACGCAGGTAGCTGTGAATGTGCTGTGAATGTGCCATGTGCACATATACAAATGACCAGTCACCCGAGATTGGAACCAGATTTGTGCTTTAGTCCCATTCAAAACTTCAATCACGCCTAGGTTAATCATTCTTAATGTAAGACAGCAGACTTCAATTATTAATCTAATAATTAATAATTATTAATAATTAATCTAATTATGCCTCCAGATTTTCAGGCACAATAGCTGAAAATCGGTGGTATGGTTTTTCCAACCATTTTAAGTAAGAAACAGAAAAACCATGGTGCAGTCTAAATTAGTCTTTTTTTTTTTTTAAAGAGGGAGGGGAACACTTCCCTGCCCCAATAATCTGGGGAAAACCCCTTTTCAGAAAATCCTGGTCCCATTTATGAAAGTTGTAAAGTTGGAAGGGTCATCAATCACCAACCTACTACAGCCCTCATCTCCCCTGTAAATATTGTGGGCCCTGAACACTAAAGGTGGCTCATGCCTGGACTATGCCATGACTACACCATACTTGCTTAAATCAAATATTTAACATATCCTGGGAACCCAGAAAAGGCTGCCTGTCTGCTTTGTGATTCCAGCCCTGCCACTGTCCAATGAACTTCTGTTGGCAGGTTGGTGAGAATGTTATTCTGCAGCAACAGGCATGAAAGGATCACTCGGGCACTTGAGATGCAGGGCTGCAAGAGAATCAGCCATTGGGGAAAAAATGCCTCTCAGCTTGCCTTCTGGTCTTTTCCGTCTCACGAAACATCAGCAATTCTACAATAACATAGGGAGGGGGACACTAGGCTTCTCCTTAGGGCAGATAGGCAGCTGGTTAGACACACTTCTAGAAAAATCATCAAGAGAGCTGCAAGATCTTTCCATCAAAGTACCCCCTCCCCCCGTGACCGAGCAGAATCGAACTCTCCGGGTAGTTTAAACATCAAGACCATATATGATTGCAGTTACTGCTTATTTGGGTGATTTAATTCATTCTTGTTCCACATCTTCAACATGCCGTTTATCACGTAACTTTTGCTGAGCACTTCCTTCTGATGCTTTAAGTCAGGCTAAAACGAAACCTGCAGTTTTGTCAATGTTCAGTTGCCCTACTGCTGGATGAGCTTTTTCTGATTTGTCAAGCCATTTGATAAACAGCTGGCATGGCAATATATTCTTGCAGGTAGCATTCCTAACACGCCTTCTTTTCGGTTGTATCATTGGTTTATCTTGGTTTCCTATCCCTCCTTAAACCAAATATTAAACTTGAACATAAAAGCAAATTATTTAACTAGTACTGTAATATTTGATAATGAAAGCTCAGTTGAACTAATAGTTCCATGCTTATCATACATTATAGTTTAACTATGATGTGTTAATTAAATCATAATTGTCTGGGTTTACACATCACATTAAACTATAAAACATGATTTACATATCACAATGGCTGAACTCACACAATGTAATAAATATATTGAAACAAGCCACAATATGGCTTGGAATGTCCTATGTACCAGGCCATAAAGTAATATTTTAACTCTGTCCACTGTTCTACCATCCTATGTTATGAAACTTTATATAAAATATTAATTAACACGCATTCACTTCTGGGCCCACCTTTTTTCCATTCACAACAATTTTATGTCACTGAGAGAACCCAACTTTTTTGGAAGGAAGAAATCTCCTTGCTTGCCCATGAATTTACTAAGCCTCCATTTTACAACTTTTTCATAATGTATTTTGTTCATTTCCAGTACTTGAAAAACAAGAGTATCCAAAATTCCACACCCAGTTTAGCTGTAGGGTTGCTGGAGGTGATTAAGGCATTTTTATGATATATGTAAAAAAATAAAAAACACTTTTAATGTTAAGTATTATTTCCTCAAATTCTGCGAGTTTCCTGTCCTTCCAAGCCCTTGGCTGTATTTTAAATAATTATTATAAATAAGGATTACCCCAACAACTTAGAAGTCATTTTCAATTCCCTTGTAATTTATATACTTCCCAGCTGTTGGAACCTCTTGCCCTTTTACCACTGGGAACAACTGAAGTAGCTGTTTATCACAGCAGAGCACAATTTACTGGCTTCAATGAGTAACTTTTCATCTGCATGCTACATGACGGTTGCATGCAGTCAATCATGTTAGTTTTCTAGCTTTGGAGAGAAAAATATTCAGAACTGCTGCCATTTTTTCTTTCACGTCCAGATTTATTGATCATCACTCATCCCTTCATAACCTCAAGGCTAGACCACAACAGTAAACACAAAGCTCCCCCCAATTGTTTGGAGTAGCGGGCTCGTTCCTTGACTATGAATGGATAATTGGGAATACAACCAGCGCTCTGGGTTTGAAACTGATTCTCCCACATAGTATTATGCTTTCCACATCTCCATACCTTAGTTATAGAGCACAGGCTTTACATACAGAATTGGTCATCTGTACTGCTCATCTGAAATTTTAAGGAAACACCGAAGAATGGGATGAGCACCGAGATACAGCTAGCTAGTTCATTGCATGACCTAAGGCAGCTTCTTACCTTGGAAGAAAAGGGCACATTTATTTATTACATTCGATTTATTGTCCACCCATCTCCCCCCAATGGGGAACTCTGGGCGGCTCACAAAGTACATATCAACAATTACAATTCTACAATTACGTTATGTGACCGGCAGGGGTTGGTAGGGGGCCATCCGGGCTTTTCCTCCTCCGTAGATCTTCCTCGCCGCTCATGCCGGCTGCATTCGCCGCTCACCGCTCATGCTGGCTGCATTCGGAGTTCGGCCAGCACCGGTATTTGCCCCCTGCGCAGCACCGCCGGTTCCTCCCATCTAAACGGGAGTACCCATTTATCTACTTGCAGATGGAA